TAAATCCCTGGGCCAAATCTGCTGTTATTCACGGGTCATTCTACCTAAATGCTTGTTCGAAAAATCAGTTTGATCTGAGAATACCACACTGTCATGCTGCAAGGATTATGATGGATTACCTTGAACAAGAAACCATAAACGTTATAAAGTCCTTATCTAAATCCCATAAAATTTTCTGGGATTTTGTTTATGTTAATGACGTAATTCGTAATGTGCCATGAGAGAGCTTGCACTGACGAAGAAATGGAATAATATCATGTACACCGTCGTCGGCCGACTGATCATAAGCATTTGGCTCTCGCAAAGGTTGGGTCATGGAGGGGAAAATACCCATTACAGAGTATCTCTCTTTCTTTTTTTTTTGCCAGACATGATTCATTCAGACAAGTTTTTTAGTCAGGCACTGTCTTTGACCACTAAATTAGAGGATACTCTTGTCTCACTGGTGGGTTGTAACTAGACCTATACTTTACAGAACCAACCAGATTCTTTAAAATATGTGGTGGTAGTTTTCCTCTTTAAAACTGTGCTAATAACTTCCTTTATAGTAACGTCATGGAATCTAGATTAACAGCTTCTTGTTGTCACCCACATGCACTCGGTACTGCCGTATCAAGCATCAATATTTACATTAATTACTTAAGCTAATACCACGTGATGCTAAACGCTGTTTAATTAAGAAAATTTCATAAAATTAAGCACATCTGTACTTAAAAGTTGGCAATGAATAATAACCGTTCACTGTATGATTATTTTGAAAACTTGAGCTAGAATCTGCTAATCTAATATACCTGGCCTAACCAAAAATTATTTATCTGTACGTGCTTTCACCATATAGTTTTGCTGCTCTAAATCAGCCGTTCAATAACAAAAAACTAATAACGGTCCGCTTTTACTATTAGATGAAGCTGTAGTAAAAATTTCAGACGGATAGCTGACGTGACTTTTTGCGTAAGCGTGCGCAAACATTTTTTGTCAAATTTGAGAGGTCTTTGTTGAATAACTTTGCATGTCCCCACACCACCATAGCATTAGCATGCTGATCATCCTTTGCACAATATGTGTTGGCTTTTGATCTCAGAAATTAGAAGAATGAGGGTCATCGAAAGAAATAATCGATGGTCAATAATAATCTGAGTAAAAACTAATGAAAACGTAAAAAAATTGGAACTAATGATATATATATGATAGAATACTTATTTGAATTTTAAATAAATATATATACTTACATAAATACAAAACATACTACTAAAAAATTTAAGTCTATATTAGAACCATAACTAATCGTGTAAGTAAAATTTACATAATTTATTTTGTTATAAATACTACTTCCCCTTAAGGCCTACCGCTTTATCTTTAAAATACTTTAAGTATAATTTTTTTATTATTTCTTTCGGTGACCCTCATTCTTCTAATTTCTGAGATCAAAAGCCAACACATATTGTGCAAAGGACGATCAGCATGCTAATGCTATGGTGGTATGGGGACATGCCCCCCCCCCAGAAAATATGTAAAAAAAAAACAATAAGTGCTATAAGATTAAGTCTGGAAACAATTTTGCATGAAATATAGCTTAAATAATTGCATGGCTGTTCACATAAAATTCACAGACATCCAATGAAAGACAACAAATCATCATCCCGTTGTAACACTGCATGGGGAGCTAGACTTCAATTAACATAAATATGTATCTTTTATTATAGTAAGATATTGTACTATCTACGAGCAGAGTAGTTATTAATAGTTAAATTATATTACTAATTTAAACAACTCTGTACAACAACGGTGTATTAGTTATTTCAATCATTGGCTATTACATACGTACATGTATGCACTACTGAAATATCATGTTATCATGCTCCATTCTGCTGTGGTGCTTTTCCGTAAATAGCTAACATACAGTTTCAATGTTGATAGTATTGTCTTAATGATTATATATTAAAGTTAGAGCACTCAGTCTTTCTTCGGTTTGGGTACACCTTAGGTAATTATTCAACTGGCTGGAGAGCATATACCGAACGTTCACGTGAACACGAACTTAGTGGCAGTGAGGCAAAGAGTTTCAGTAACATGAAGATGTTTGGTATATTGAAGCATTGGTACACTGTATTGTGTAGAATGTTCTAGACTTCTGTCGGAGTATAAATACACGTCGAAATATTATTATTTAGATCTAGAATGCGTGATTGTAAGTTTAGTGGCGATTGTTGAAGTGAAATCATCACAGATTGTATTGTAGTAACAGAGAAGAGAAGAATAATTGGTCTCACCAATTGTGTCCTAAGGTAATTGAACCAGCCTTTGTGGACTTTGACAAAAAAGGAACAATTACTTAAAGCTCTGGATACAACTGTGATAACCAACAATGTAAAGAAAATTTGTATACACGTTTGACTTGTTTTAATATATTATTTTAAAACATGTGGACTGTTTTGCTGTTTGTTTATTGTTGAAGTTTATCGCTAACAAGTCACAGACACCTACTGTAAATGATCCGTCCTACAAAAACTGACAGTAGCAACACAGCTTCGGACTTCCAATTACAAAGTGTTAACAGTAGCCATTGCATGCTAATGCTTCATCATAAGAATGTACACCATGTAAAAAAACGTTAAACGCAATGCGCAGCTGCGCTATAACTATATAACCATAATTTTTTTTTCTCTAAATTATACAAATAGGGGGTTCTGCTGAACCCTCCCCCACGTACGTGCGCGAGGGAACTTTTACGGACACTAGCTCAAATTACATAGTCTTAATACTGCTTAGAACTGTTTTAAGCTTGCAAATCCGCTCTCTAAGGAGGATGAAGAGTGATATTATAAGTTTTACTGCGACTGGCTCTTTATTTAACTCCTGCCATGAAAGTTCTATTGCATCAACTTTAGGTAATTTATTCCTGTTTTAGATTGTGACCTATGCTTTAAAATTATTTTGGTTACTGCTTTAGGAAAATAAATTATAATGCTGCAGGTCTTGCTTATATTGTTTGTTTTTGAATTTCGCGCAAAGCTACACGAGGGCTGTCTGCGCTAGCCGTCCCTAATTTAGCAGTGTAAGACTAGAGGGAAGACTGCTAGTCGTCTCACCACCCACTCTTTTACCAACTGCTTATATTGAAGAGGGATACATTGATCAATTTCACCATATCCATCCACCCCTTTCAAAAGTAAGTTTTTTACATACAAATATGTTTTAACTTCCCTGTACCACACTATCGACTTATGTACAAAGTGTGACACTTTCGTAATATTTTACATGTCTAAGGTTCCGTCATATCGTGCTATTTATTAGAAACCTCACCCTATCAATTTTGAAAAAAAAAAAAAAAATGATTCAGCGAGTTATGCACGTAAGGCGAATTACAGTATTGTTTCGAATGTATCTTAATATTTCTTTTTAAGCAAGCTTACAAAGCAATAATTTACCCACTACATATGTTTTACTTGGTGCATCATATTCATAAGGAAGATTGACTTTTTTACTAAGGCTTGGTGGTTAGAGTGTTGACTCGTAATTTGAGGGTGGCGGGTTCAAATCCCCGTCACCGAACATGCTCTTCCTTTCATCCAATCCCACTATTCGTTGGTAAAAGAGTAGCCCAAGAACTGGCAAGTCTGTAACTGTTAAATTAGGAACGGGTAGCCCTCGTGTAGTTTTGCGCAAAATTTAAAACCAAACCACTTTTTACCATATTCGTAGAGTATAATTTAAGAAAAACTTACCGTTAATCGTATCTGGAGAGCTTTACAGTCATGGGTGTCCTCAGGATATACTACGGGGGGGAGCAAGATAACAAAATGATATCAAAGCTATAACTAGGGAAAAGCCCTTGTTTACAGTAGGTTCGAACACTTTGGTACAAATATATGTACATACATGATGAAGTAATAAGTCAGTTGTTGTTTGTTATTAAGCACAAAGCTACACAAAGGGCTATCTGTGCTCTGCCCACCACGGGTGCCGAAACCCGGTTTCTAGTGTTGCAAGTTCGCAGACATACCGCTGTGCCACTGGGGGGCAACAAGTTAGAATAACCCAATAAATAAAAATATTTTTCACAGAATATTTCCTCGATCTTTCAGTTACTATAAGTACATAACTTTTATTTCAAGAGTTATGAATGAGTTTTCGGCCTTGTTTTGTCTTGCCTATGGTGAAGTACAGTAATAAAATGAATACGTTTTGTTGTTTCAAGGAGTGGGTACAGACAGGCTTATTTTTTTAAGGACAAATCTGATCACACGTGGTAGCTGGATTCGAGGACGATATAAAAAAAGAAGCTAGTAGAAACCACTCTTAACGAAATAATTTACTACGTAATGAATGACACTTACGTCTGGTTATACGGAAAAAACTACTACATAACATTCTGTATAAATTTGGCTTTTATTTTAACCCTCATATACCAATATCTGGATGAAATACTCCGGGGTTTCCGTGCCCATTATGTTGAATAAACGCGTTTGACATCTGTGTATAGTTCATTTCCATAATATATACACACACACACACACATATATATATATATATATATATAATAAATATATTTAAACAACAAGCAGAAAACAAAAGTATCAAATGATGATCATTAAACTTTCTTTTAACAAAGTTGAAGGTGATTAAAACCCAAGATCAAAGAGGAGTTTCGTTCCTTTGACCCTGCTTCTGCATTTCTTTTTAAAAATAAATACTGGCGGTGCCCCTGTACTCACATATTTATAAATAAATATATATATATATATACACAAACACACATAAATAGGATATATAAAATGACTAGTTATATGAGTATGCATTAATTTTGGTAAAAAAAAGAACTAATATTGACCAGAAATTATTAATATATTATACAAATCAGCAATTTATACATTATAAAATTCAAATTCATACGTGTGTATAATTGTTTAAGCGTGCATAATTTATATAAAATCCATTTCAGAAAAAAACTGTAAATATAATATCATTGAAAAGGCACAAAATGAATATAAACGCACGTTTCTTGATACTTGATAAACGTTTTTTTTTTCTGGATATATAAATTCACTAATCACCACTTGTAATTATTATGAGCTACACTGGATCGATCATCATATTTTTTATACTTATTTAAATTGTCCATCCACCATCTGACAAACAATTCTTTTCGACATTCCCTCGAGTTTCATGACATATAGTCTACAAATTTTACAACACAGGATACATCTCCCCCCCTAATAAGCAAACTCCGACCCCCAGGGTCGGTATGGTCTCACTGATGCAAACTGGGAACCTCCAGAAGGTCCGTAGTTTGTCGCTGGCAATCCATATGATGCTAAATACTGGTTCACTGGCACTTGACCCAGCGTGGGTACCATAGGAGAACTGCTTGCATTCATAGTTGAAGGGAGGGATGAGGATGGGCCATAAGTAGGAGTCACACGTGGCACATGAGGTCCAGAATGAGGCCCTAAAGAAGTAACATTTGAATCACTCGAATATGTGTGATTAAATCGTGAATCTTCGTTAGTATAGGACGCGTTTGAAGGTTCCATGGTAGTTAAGCTTGATGTTGGAATACTTGAAGTACTATGTGGCGCAACAGAAGGCGGATGGTACTGAGGCGTTGTAGGTGGGACAGAACTAAACGGTGTAGGTGGGTTCCATGGGCTATGGGGTGCAGACGGTTTTATCACAAATTCGCGTTGAGTCGAGTAACTTTGAAGATGGCTCATCAGGCGCAATCGAAGAGGATCTTGTAGATCCATTCCTTCAATCGCCACCAGGTATCGTGCTACTTCTGTCGCACATTCTCTAAAACCGAGACTGTGATAGTCTGCTGCATATTTGTGTGGATCAAAAGAAAATGCATCGAAACCTGAATACAAAGAAAACGTTAACGTTATTAAATGTACTTTAGGTCTTGTACTTGCACTGGAACTTTTAATTAAGAAAAATATTAATTGGTGTTTACCACTATAGTTTATTAACTTCAACACTTAAATGTTTTGAAGTGTTCTAGCAGCAAGGAATTTCCTCTAG